CCACGGGAGTCCCGAGCAGCCGCAGCTGGGAGGCTGTCCCGGGTGGGGAGGCTTTCCCGACCGCCCCGGTTCAGACAGGACGGCGCTAAGGGGCCGGGGGCCCCTTCGTCAACCCCCTTTCCTCCTCTTTTTCTCATCACCCGCACCCCCCCGGGGCATTAACTAGGCTTAATCTGCCAGCTCCATTTGAACCTCAATGGGAGTAAAAACAACAATTTACTCTCCTGCCAGTGGCAGACAAAAGCGCTGGTGAAAAAGAGCATCGGGGGTCGGAGTATGGTGGAGGAGGGGGGAAGGGAAAAAAAAAAAATCCGTTTAAGGGACATGGATGTTTGTGTGTGTGAAGGGGCAGTCCCGGGAGCCCGGAGGTTTTGCCACCCTTCCCGGCGTGGCGACACGTGGGCCGGGTCCCCGAGGGCCACGGCGGCTCCCCATCGGAGCCATTTGCTCCTAGAGGCAGTAAATTTTCCTCCGACGTCGAGGACAGGGGGGGAGGAAGGGGAGGGTTGCCCCGGGAGGGTCTTCCAGGCCGACGAGGCAGGTTTTGCCGTCGGCAAAAGGAAGTTTCGGTGAGCAGCGGGGCAGCCAGGTGCACAGGCAGCCATGGGGATGCCCAGCTCCTGGGGACGCCTGGGGACACGGCTAGCGTGGCGAGCTGCGCCAGGCCCGACACGCCAGCCCCGCGGAGAGGGGAATGCCTTGCCCTTCTGCGAAGAGAAGGATCACCCATAGAGGGGAAAAAAAAATTTAAAAAAAAGATGAAAAACGGGAAAAGCGAAGCCTTTCGATGGTTGTATCAATGCTGGGTACCCGGAGAAATAAAAGGTGGAGAAGCAAGCCCCCCAGGAGGGCAGCCTGAGTGCTCCCTTAGCGGCACATTGTTAAGCAAACGAAGCGCTCCACCTAAGAAAAGTTTTATTGTGGTCATTGTTTTGTCATTTTGCTAAAGTACTTGCAAAAGACTTTTTGGCTCCTGCTACAGTCAATTTGCCGCTCGCCCACTCCTATTTGGGAGATAATGTTGGATTTGTTTGGGGTGGTGGTTTTTTTTTTTGAAGACCAATAGCTAACAGAGTCGACAAGGAAAAAAAAATAGTTTGCGAAGCACAGAAGCTTTTAAAATATCCACAAAAAAAGACCAAATCCAGAGGGCAACAGAAGCCTCCGCAGACAATAACCTCATTCGAGCAGGACACGAGTCTCGTTTCTCCTCGCTTTGCTTCTTTTAACTTCCGTGGGGGAAAAAAAAAGAAAAGAAAAAGAAAAAAAAGTGGGTAGGGGGAGAGTTAATTTCCATGGGGTGGCTTCATGGCTAGTCCGAAACTTTCTGCGAATCGGACGGTAGCTTCTTTGATTTCACTGGCCACTTTGCTCTCCGCTGGCAGGCAGAGGCGCGGGGGCTAGCAGCGGCCCGCAGTCAGACAGGCAGGGCCCACTGCCCCCCCTCGCCGGGGCTCGGCAAATCGAAGAAACCTTTTTTGTCGTTAATTTTTTTTTCTCCCTTGCTCTTGGGTCCCTTCTACCTGTGTCCATCGCTGCAGGTTGTTGTGCTGGCGAGCAATTGGGCTGTTGTTGATATGCTAATGAGGCGATTAGACTGTGGGTAAAGAGCTGGAAAAGGGAAAAGTTTCCACCATTAGAGGGAGATCTCCGAGCGCGGACGGGAGCGCTGCCGAGCCTCCGCCAGCCGCGCTCCCCACGCCGCCCGGCACCGCCACCGTAGGGAGAGGCAAGGCAGGGAGAACCAAATCCTCTCTCACGCCAATCCATGAAAATGCTTTGGAAACTGACGGATAATATCAAGTATGAGGAATGTGAGGTAAGCGCTTCCCCCGGGCCCGGGCAAAGCCCCGGCCGCGCAGCTACAAGCGGGAGCCTTCAGCATCCCTCCGTCTCTCAATTTCGTTTAGGAAAACTTCTGCTCCGTCGTCAGGCTTCCTTGCGGTCCTGCAGCCAGAGAGGGGCTGGGGTCCTTCCCCAGGAACTTCGGGGCTTGTGGAAACACGGCTTTGTCGGAAGTGTATGAGGAAAGGCAAACAGGATCCAGAAGCAGCCTGGTCTATAGGTAGATCTTCCGTAGATAAGGCTCTTGTAGGATGCTACACTCATCCATATGGATGGATGGATGGATGGATAGATGGATGGATGGATAGGCGGCTGGCTGAATGAATGGACAGATGAATGAATGAGAGGGCCAAGAGACAAAGGGAAGATAATTATTCTTGCACTCTAGGTACCCGAGGCATCCAAATAAATTGGCTCAGGACCGACGCTTAAATGCAGCCTTTTCGATATATCTGCGGGTTCATTATACCGAGCTGCACAAATTTACAGGGGTTTGCTGCCTAAATGAAATCATGGGTTTTGGGAGCAGTGTTCCCCCAGCCTCCTAATTTTCAGGGCCACATTCCCACGGGTTTGAGACAGTAACTTAACCGCTTGGGAAAAAATAAATAAAATCCATCTCATTCGGTTTTGGAGCCGTTTAGCACAGATTGTGTGCGCGCATCTCTGTCTGTGCCTGTATGTGCATCCATATTTTTACAAAGAGGCGAGTGTCTTTTAATCTGACAAAAAGGAGAAGAGGAAGAAAAAGAAGAGCGATGCCCAGGACCCATGCCTAGTCTCAAACCAACGAATATTATTGTCACCCGTTTCGAAAAAGTTGCTTGTGCAGTGGGTTCAAACCGCGCAATAAAAGACTCTACTTTGCAAGTGAACGCTGTTATTTGGTCGTGACCCACGCGGGAAGATCCCCTCAGCCTCGGCGGAGCCTTGCCGACATGCATCTCTGGGTCGAAGGGGGCACTCTCCCGTCCGACCCTGACGCTGTTTTGGGTGATGCTGTAGTTTAAGAAAGGGACCGAGGATTCGGCAGGCTTGGCGCCGACTAAGTGATTTGGTGATCTAGTCCCTGATCGAGGAGTTTGGGATGAAGCTGTCTCCCGATGAGGGAGCTGAGCTTTAGATCCACTCACTGGCGGGTGCTTGATTTCTATGAATGAGGTGTCGGGTGTTGGAGTTTGTGGGTTGTGTAGTGTTTTTGAAATTATTTTTTTAGTTGGCTGATTTTTAGTTTAATTATTTTTGAGTTGGCTAATATTTTTTTGTTGTTCTTGGGTTTTTTGCTGTTTTGGATTTTTAAATTTTTTTTTTTTCAACCCGGAAAAAAGACACATACTCCTCAGCTGCATTTCGGGTGGAAAGCGTGCCTCTTCCCCCTCCCTCCCCTCAGGACCGGTCTTCCAGTTTGCACACGTGTGAGCGTGTGGATTTAATCGCAAATGGCTTTTGTTGCCTTGCGTTAATGGGACTTTCGCACCGAGGTGTTACCAAACACGGAGAGAGCAGCAGCCGCTCCTCGAACCGGCCGGATTTTGTGCATATGTGTGGAGTTGGGTCTCCGTGTTTACCTCGGGAGCGGACGCGAGAACACTTTTAATAGAGGATGGAAAAGAGGGTGACTGTACCCTTCCGGGGGTAGAACCTGCCTTAAAATTAAAAAAAAAAAAAAAAAAAAAAAAAAGGAATGAGAGAATGAGAAGAAAAAAAGCCCTCAAAGATAAACCCAGAAAAAAGGCATAAAAGCCCGGCCAGCCGCGCTCAGCGCCCGGGGCGGCCGGAGCGCCGGGGGGTCGGGGCGGGCGGGCGGAGCGTGGGGCCGGGCGCCGGCTGCGGCGGGGCAGCGGCGGCGGCGAGCGGAGCGGTGCCTGTTTTAAGGGAGTTGTTTGGGAGTTGCACAGCCAGTCCGACGGGTTGCGCCGGAGCCCTGGCTTGTCTGGGCCGGGAGAAGCGCTCGCCTTGCCTCTTTTCCCGACTCCCGCTCCCCACCGCGTTCCTCCCGCCCTCCTTCCCTCCCCGCCTTGCTGCCTCCTGCCTTTTTCCTCCGTCTCTTCCCGGATCCTCCGAGAGGGGGGCCGCGGGGAGCCCGGCGGATGCTCCTTGGGCTCCCCAGCCCCCCCGCCCCGGGCGCCCGCTGGTCTCGGCGTTGGGCTCGAACCGGAGGAAGAGGAGGAGGAGGAGGAGGGCTGACACCCAGAGGGGGAGACACCCAAAAAAACTTTCCTAGCCGGTTTCCGGGACGTGGGGCACGGAGGCGAGCTTGCTCGGCGGCGCGGGGCGGCCGCCGCGGGGGCAGCGGCGAGGGGAGCCCCTCGGCGGGGCGCCGTCGAGGCATGGACGGGGCGGCGGCGGCGGGCGGTCCCGCGGAGCCCACCCCGCGCAAAGGCGGCGGCGGTGCGGCCGAGGGCAGCAAGAACCAAGCGGGAAGCGAGCAGCCGCTCTTCTCCCTGGGCTTTGAGGCCGGCTACGCGCAGCAGCCGCAGCCCGAGGTGCGCCCGCGAAGGACTGCGGGGCTGGGGACATGGGGGGGCGGCAGCCGGGGGGAAGGGAAGGGAAGGTGAGAAAGGATGAGGGGGGAGATCCCGCGCCCCCTCCCCTCTCTCCTTCTGCCCGTCTCTCCCACCCCCTCCCCGCCCCCCCCCTCTTTCTGCACCCCCTCCTGGCTCCCACCCTCTCCCTCTCTCCGGATCTCTTTCTCTTTCACTTTTGCATGCCCTGCAACCTTTTAAAATGTTGCCCCTTTCCTGTGATTCGTCAGACGCAGCAGCATGTGCCCCCTCTCTCTCTCCCGCTCCCTCTCTCTCCCTTTTTGTCTCTCTCTCCCTCTCCCTCTCCCCCATCTCTGATTAGATACACTGATTCTTCATTCAATGGACGTCATTTAGAACAGGCTCTGCCTTGAGTTGCCTTCTCGCTTCACGCTCGATTTCCAGCCATTCTTCCCTTATTAAGTGTTCGTGTAATATTAATAGTCATGAATATCTGCTATTAGGAGTCTCCAGGAAGGCAGCAGATCTGTTATTAGGAGCTCAAGTGAAGCAGCAGCTAAGTCAAAGGAGAAAAAGAAAGAGTCAGAGGAAAAAAAAAGGATTAAGAAAGAAACACACACACGCTAAAAAAAAAAAAAAAAAAAAAGCGCAAAACAAACAAACAAAAAACCCAAAACAAAAAAAAAAAAGAAAAAAGAAAAAAGCAACCAACTTTGACTCCTCACACCGCGCCAGGATAGAGAGCTCGCCTTGGGAACACCCGATGAAGGGCAGCAGAGATCGGTGCAAGTTCTGATGGATTATCGTGGCGCGCCCGCGGTGCAGGAGCAGCCCCGGCTCCCCGGTCCTGCCGCCCGCGCCTAGCGCCGGGCTCCGGCCGCGCTCCCTCCGCGCCCGCTCCGCGCCCGCACCCGCGGGGCTCCGCCGGGGGCTGCGCGCTTCGCCGGTCCCTTTCCTCTGGCTTTTTGTTATTTTTTCTACCTTGGCTTGTAACCCCCGACTCTTCGCAGATGTTAGTGCACAGTTTTTCGGCTATGGTGAGTTGCTTCACGTTTCTCTCGGAGGGGGTTCGGTGCGCGCTGGGTGTTGCTATTGTTGTCGGCGGTGGCAGTGGGGGTTTCGCACCCAGCTTTCTGGAGAGGGCTTTATTTCCTTTCCTTCATTTTTATAAATTCGGTGGTTTACGTTTTTTCTCCTACTCTTTATTTTTCTTTTCTTCCCTCCCCCCCCCCCCCCCCCCCCGTTTTTTTGTTGTTTTTTTTTTTTTTGTCTGCTTCGAGCGCACGCCTTTGCTCGGACCTTACCGCTTCGATTCCTTCACCTTGCCACCTGCAAACGTAGCATTTTCGCTTTCTCGTTTCCCTGTTTCGGGACCGTGGTTCTTTCCTTCGAATCCTCCTCCGTGGAGGCCATTCCTTTTACCCCAGACGTTCATGTGGGCTTTTCTGCCCGGTCTCGAAAGCCGGCAGAGCCGTGCCGAAGCTCCCGAGCTCATTTCGGTGCCGGTCGCCCGTCGGGGCGGCGGCGCTTCCCCCGGCTGCCTGCCGCATTCCTCCGCTTCCCCGGCGGCCGGGCCGCCGCTGCCCGCTCCGCTCCCAAATCGCACGCTGGCGAGCCCGGGGTTCGGCCGGGCACCTGGGGTTCGGCTCTCCCCGTAGGCGGGGGACCACGGCAGTGCTTTCTCCCTGAAACATTTCTAAAACTCTAAGGGTCAACTACCCGTTTGTTTGGAGCCTATTTCGGCGATTTCTGGTAACAAAATGGCAGTGGGTTTGGGTTTTCCAGGGTTTTCTTGGGACGCGATCGGTAATGTCAGCGACAGTATTTATCTCGGTTCTGTTAAGAGCCAGAGGAAGGATTTTGGGTTGTGGCAGAATTATTATTTCAATAATGCTCGCTTGTGAATTATTCTTTTTATTTGTGGGAAATACCTGCTCCTGAAATGCCGGGGCACGATCTGTTGTGAATCCACGCTGTATCGCCGCAATGTTTTATTAATTATTATAAGCTGTCGTGTTGTAATTATTGCTATTATGGCTTTTATCATTATTGCCGTTATTATTGGTTTTTTTAAAAACGAGACTGCCTCTTAATTATTTGGGAAGGGAAATCAGAGGCAGAGAGGTTCCAAATCTGCTTTTCTCCGGTTCGGAGACGATGATTTGCCCCTTGTTGTCCTATAGATGAAATTTTCAAGGCGATTTTGAGGAAAATCAGCTTGATATTATCTTTGTTTTTCTTTTCTCCTTTCCCCTCCCCCTCCCCCTCCTCTGCCCCCTCCACCCCCCAACCCTCCTCCCCCCCGCTCCCGCTCCCCATCTCAGGAGCGCCACGACAGTACCAGCAACGGGACAGCCCGGTTACCCCAGTTGGGGACCGTGGGTCAGTCTCCCTACACCAGCGCCCCACCGCTCTCCCACACCCCCAACGCCGACTTCCAGCCCCCTTACTTCCCCCCCCCTTACCAGCCCATCTACCCCCAGTCTCAGGACCCCTACTCCCACGTGAACGACCCGTACAGCCTCAACCCCCTCCATGCCCAGCCACAGCCCCAGCACCCAGGATGGCCGGGACAGAGGCAGAGCCAGGAGACGGGGCTGCTCCACACGCACCGGGGTTTGCCCCACCAGCTCTCGGGGCTCGACCCACGCAGGGACTACCGGCGGCACGACGACCTGCTGCACGCCCCGCACGGGTTGGGCTCGGGGCTGGCCGACCTGCCCCTCCACTCCATCCCCCACGCCATCGAGGACGTGCCGGTAAGCCAAGGGGCCACCCCGGGGCCCACTCGTCCCTCTTACCGCGGGAGTTCAACGTCGGGGGGGAGAAGGAGGGAGTATGAGGAACACCCCCCCACCCCCGCCCCCCTCCCCCCCCAAAAAAAAAAAAGGAGGAAGGGAAGAAGAGAACTCCCCCCGGGGAAAAGTGAAGCCCCCACCTAGAACAAAAGGTTCTTGCAGCTCGTCCCTGAACGAGTCTCCCCGCTAACTTGCCCACTAAAATAAAAATAAATCAAATTACTGTCATCGTTAACAATATCTTTCCTTCTCAATGACAATAAGCTGTTACGATTGGAAGAATGTATAATATTACCACAGGGCCGTGCATTTGGGGATTTCTTACTGCCTTGGGAAAGACACGAGTCTGAAATGCCTGTGAGGACATTTAACTAGATCTCACAAATGTAAAAGGGGGTGTGGGGGGGAAGTGGGTGAAAGTGGCCTAAGAAGGAAAAATTGGTTTCCTGTGATTACAGGATTGGCATATGGAATAACCACATCCAAACTTATAAGAGGGTACGGGCAGATCCTCTTCTCTAAAGGAATTAATTGACAAATCAGGGAAGAGGTATACTAAAATGCTGCCGCCTTCTTTTAGTAGCGGTGCAAAGGGATGACCTCATAAATCATTACCTATAGGTTATCGAATTCGAGTCAGACCTGCTACACCCTATATTAAATCAAATGTTGGGAGCCTATTGGAGGATGCATTATTTGGGGGACCTAATTCTATTATCGATGAGTACAGACTTTAAAAATGATTTCTAATTAAGCATGACATTAGTGCACAGGCTACTTACAAGGCAAGCCAGGGCTATTGTTCAGTTAGGAAAGTGGCCTTATGCAACATGATAGGTCATGATCAAAGTTCATCTTTCTGCGTTTCTCCCTGAAAATGGAATTAGAACATGGCAATAAATTTATTAAAGCCCACAGAGATCATGCTGAGGGACTGAAGCTGCTCGACTTGCAGGAGGAAAGAGGAGGAGGGAACTGTGGTATCTGGATGTGATTTTTGCTGAAATGCCATCCCAAATTACAGGATCAAATATTACAACAATATATTCGCTGACAGTTTAATGAGTACAGTTTCGTGTTGCAAGGATAATGTTCAGATGAACTTACCTATTTTTGGGGGTCATTTTGAAATCTTTTGTAAATTATACTCGGAGAAAATAGTGAATTTATTACAGCCCTCATCTGGCTAAATTAGCCACAGAAAATTGCTGGTTGTGTTTAGCAGTTTTGCAATAAACGCATACGTTTTCCAAAGTGGAGGATTTAGTAAGCAATTTGGATCCGTTAAAAGCAGGTCGACTCTTTAAACCTGATATAAAATAACATGGAGGCAATCGTAAGAATAAACTAATTTGTTGACTGCATGCCCCTGATTGCTGTAGGAAAACATGACCTAAAATGTTCTCTTGAATTCTGCCTCTCCTTAGTTGTGCTCCATGGCAGTGGGCTGATTCAGGAAGCCTCATCTTCAGATCTATGAATTAATAGCATTGCTATTTCTTTGTGAAAACCAAATGCCATCTGGTTTAAATCCTTGTGCCAGTCTAGCCATTTTTTTTTTCTCTGTAAGACTGAATCAGCAGGCTTCATGAAGTAAAGTATAAAATAAGAGGTTGCATCTTTTAGGTGTATTTTATCTGCTTAAAAAAAAAATCTGTTACAGAAATCTGAGTTGAGAGGATAATTTTTGAATTTTTCTGTTGATGCAACAGTTAACCTTTAATAAAAACGTCTGCTAAATATTTAAGAAAGTCAAGTAGATGGTGAAAATTATTTAATCATAAATATCTCTGTGGGATTTTAAACTTAACAGTCCTCCCTGTACGGAATATGTGTAGAAATAACACAAATAAAAGTATTATGCCACACTACATTTACTTTATGGGTTTAGGGTGCATGCATAAAGGGATCATATTTCCCCATATAGTTAAAACACAAGAACTGCAGCAGTAGTCATTTCTGAACATTTCTCAATTTAATTATACTTAAATCCAGAAGCACTTTAGGCAACTTACAAATGAGAGCATTGAGTATAATAAAACCTGTAATAAAGCAACTTAGTACCATCCACCCGGAATCATTGAGATCAGGCACAATTAACAGGAGCATAAATCCAAGACAGAATGGAAAATGTTAGAATCAGTATTATTGTTGGACAAAGACTAGAGAAGGAAGTAATAGTTTTTTAAATGGTAATGCCTGGGTTTTGTAACGATTGCGAAATCTTCTATCTCAGCAGCACTGGTGTTAATTTGTAAACACAGCCAGACATTATATTGCCTGTCAGTTTTTGGAATTAGACAACATGATTTCATTTGACTTTCTAATCACGTCATGACTCCGCCGCGCGAACCCCAGCTGTAGCCGCGCCCGCGGAACCTGCGAGGGGACAATAGTGGGGGCGCCCACCGGCCCCGCGCCGCTCCGCGCTCCTTTGTGCTTTCCCTCCCGCGGGCGCGGAGAAGGAGCGGGCGCAGCGGCGGGGAAGGGCTGGGCCGGGCCGGGGCTGCTTCCCGGGGAGGAGGGAAGGGACAGGAGGAGGGAGCCCTCAGAAGCTTAAGGCCACTCGGGCCCCGGGGGTGTGGGAGTGATTTATTATTTTTCTTGGGGATCGGGGGAAGAGCTGGGAGGGATGCAGGATTCCTCTCGCTAAAGGAAAACTCCCCCAAATCTCTTTACTCCCTTCTCCCCCCACCACCCCTTACCGTGCAGGATATGTTTTTTTCCTCCCCACGCCGTGCCCAGGAATGGGGGGAGCACAAAACTTCTCCTTCACCCCATCCCATCTCGGCCCTCCCTGCCTTTTGTTGTGGTTGTACACTGACATCCCTGCCTGTTCCTTTTGTTGCAGCACGTAGAAGACCCCGGTATTAACATCCCAGATCAAACTGTAATTAAGAAAGGTAAGCTGCTTCCTTGCGCATACCAAACATGTCGTCACAGGCTGGGGACTGCTCGAAGGGAGGACTTACCCGGCCTCCCCCCTCTCCCCTCCAGCCCCCCGGCCCCGGGCTCCTTCCTCTGGCCGAAAGGTTGGAAGCAAAGAAAAACGGGCGATGTGGGTTGAAATCCGCCCTCTTACATGGCCACGTTTGCCGGGTATTTTAATTATTATTGTTGTTAACGAGGCAAAATGTTAGCAGATGATCTAGAAAATCCAAGCTGGTTTTTTAGTGCGTTAGCGAACAATTGGGTTTCATGGTTTGCCCTGCGCATCTGGCTCATTGGAGGGCTTGAATCGTTGTTGGTAAACTGGAGCTGTGAAAGTGAAATCGTTCCCCCTCCTTCGGGTTTTCTTATTTAAATCACGCCGGTGATGAGGTGGACTGGTGGAGAACAAGGGGCGAGTTTCTGGAAACTGATGTCTGTTGGTGGTTAGGGTGATTTGGTTTTCGTTGGCTTTGTGCGCTTGCTTCACTTGGATTTGAACTGAATTGCTTGGAAGCTGGTACCCAAATCTTGCTAAATATTTATTGCAAATTTTCACTCGATTTTCATTTCCCGTCATTCTTCGGACGACCGAAGGATTGGGAAAGGTGGCACAGGGCATTTTGCAAAGCAGGTTCTGAGTGGAAGGAGATGGGTTTTGTGTTTGGATGCTGTGTAGTGAGACGCTGTTGGGAGTAAAACTGGTGGGGTAAGGCGCAGCTAGCTCCTGCCTGCTCTGAGGGGTGCTATGGCTGTGTGGCCGCCTGGAATTTGGATACCCGGGCCATCACAGGAGAGAGGTGCTGAGTAGAGGCACTCTCCTCTCTAACCCTAACGCTATACAGCCAGAAAAACCTGAAGTTTCATACCCCCCTCACCCTCCGCCTGTAAAGCCTTTGTCACGTCAAATTAGATGTGCAAGGGATAAATCTTAAGAGATGCTCTTTCCAAGTCGACATGATAATTGGCTCTTTTATTAGTAATCTCAAGAGTTCGTTTAACTCCTGTTGTATCTATTAGCCTTCCCAGAGCTATTAATGTCACAAGTGATCTATCCAAAACGGAGAGAGCCCCCCGCTTGGTTGGACTGCGCCCGCCAAGCGGAGCGGGCTAAGGCAGAGGAGAAAGGGAAGGCGGCCGGGACCCGAGACACCGAACGGCGGCACGGCCCGGCACCTCCCCGCCGGCCGCCGCCGGGCAGGGATCAAGCTGTATTTTGGGGTGCCGCTCCTCCGCTGCGTTACGGATTTTCCACGTCTGAATTTGTGCGCTGGCGGGGCCCCGGGGCTGCCCCACACCCTGCCGGCCGCGCCGCTGCCCGGGCACTGCCCGCCCGGCACGGCGGTACCGACGCGCGGCATCCGGCGGCCTCGGCGCCCGACAGGGGCTGCGGGGTGTTTTCAATTTCCCCGCTGCGGGTCGAGGGATGTCCGGCTCTCTCCCTGCGCCTCCCGACGAGAAAGGGGAGGGATGCCCCCGCTGCGTCCCCGCTGCCCCGCAGGCGGTGCGGGGCCGGGGCCGGCCGCAGAGAGCGGCTCGGCTGCTTCCCCCTCCCTCCCCGGCTCCCCGCCCGCTCCTCACCCTCACCTCCCTGCTCCTCCCTCCCTGCAGGCCCCGTGTCCCTCTCCAAGTCTAACAACAACGCCGTCTCCTCCATCCCCATCAACAAGGACGCGCTCTTCGGCGGGGTGGTGAACCCCAACGAGGTCTTCTGCTCGGTGCCGGGCCGCCTCTCGCTGCTCAGCTCCACCTCCAAGTACAAGGTCACGGTGGCGGAAGTGCAGAGACGCCTGTCGCCGCCCGAGTGCCTCAACGCCTCCCTGCTGGGCGGAGTGCTCCGGAGGTGAGGGGCGGGGGGACGCGGGAGGCGGGCTGCCGGGCCGTGCCGTGCGGGCGGGAGGGAGGCAGGGAGAGAGGGATGGAGGCAGGGAAGGAGGAGGACGAGCGCCCACGCGGGGCGGTGGCGCGGGGGGAGCGCGGCGGCCGCCGCTAGGGGGCGGGGCGCGCGCGGCTGGCGGGGCAGCGGGGCGGGCGGCGGAGGGGCCCGGCGCTGTCGCCATGGCAACGCGCGGCCCCCGAGCCCCGCCGTGAGCCCCTGCGTGTCCCTGTCCCTCCCGTGGCCATGAACACCCCCCACGGGCACACACACACCCCCACACACACCCCCAGGACAGACCTAGTGGCAGGCACCCTGCCATGGGCTCCCACCCCGTGGCCTCACCCAGGCAATTAGGCAGCGCCTGGGCAGGGAATAACATCCAGGATTAATTAAGGCGGCTCCCATCTCTGCAGCCCCGCTTAGCCCAGCTCTGCTGCCAAGGTACAGATGGGCCATGTAGGGTTTGGTGTGAGGGCAGTGATGCTCTGGGACTGCTGGCCCTGCAAATCGGCCTCCTCCCTTCGCGCCTGGGGAGAAGCTGCCCCTGTGACCATGGCGCTTTGGGAGCTCAGGGAGACATCTCAGAGCTCCGTGACAGCTCTGAGGCTGATTTAGTCCTTAGTGAGGGCCACTGTTCTCTAGATGTGGAAACATCAAAGTACCATCCCTATATATGGGATTCAGCTTTCAGCAGCAGTTGGTCTTGAGCCTCCCACAGCCATGTATCCCATCCCTTGTGCCTAAACCCTTTATTCCCTTCCCTGAGAAAGGATGTATTGGGGGCATGTGTGTGTGGGAGCCAGAGTAGGAGCAGGTGTTCCCCCAAGCCCCATTTCTCAACACCTCTCTGTGTGGTGCAGGGCAAAGTCTAAAAACGGAGGGAGATCTCTGAGGGAGAAACTGGACAAAATAGGACTAAACCTGCCAGCCGGGAGGCGTAAAGCTGCTAACGTTACCTTGCTCACATCGCTTGTAGAGGGTAAGTGACTCAAAGAGCTGGGAGGGCTTGTTTGGAAAATGTGCCTGCTGCTTTTGCCAAATGGGAGAAAACTAAACTAGCTGTCGAGTCGTTCGGGTTTTCTTTCTCCTTTCCCAGTGCTGCTCATTGGCATTTGGAAGGGCGTTATTTTCTGTGTCTTAAAGGAAGATCAGGTTAATAGTGTGCATTTGCTTTTTGTTATAACCTGAAACAGGTTTGTGCGAGTCCTGCAGACTCAGCAAAGCTTTCTATTATTTATTTGCTTTTAAGTTTCTGAGCTAGATGTTTTCAGGGCCCCATCTTGCTCGCTCATTCAAATGAGTAATCCCTCTATGGAGTAAGCAGATCTCATTGGGAGCAGTATGGGAAGGATCCCTGTGAAGGGGGGTTGTGGGCTTTTGAGCCCCATAAGAGACCGATGAGTATCGAGTTGGAAGTTACGGGCAGCAGAGCCTCTAATACTTCACTGCTGTTCTTCTGCCACAGGTGGACAACCAAGCAATTTTAAATGTCAGAGACTGCAGCTACTTTAAGTTTGTTCTCCCTCTCAGCCTGCAGCCACATAACAGTAAATCATTTAACTTTTCTGACATCTGCATTTGAGAAATGCGTGACCATTACTTCCTGAATTAATTTGGGAATCCTTGACCTCAGCCATGAATTAATGGTGTCCTGAAAGCCTCAAAGTTGCACCACTGCCAGCCCCCACTCCCTTTTGGTTCTCATTTTCAGAACACATGTTCCCTTGGATGTATCATTCTCCTCTGCTTTGCTTTGGCTGGAAAAGGTGCAACCTTCTTTAATGCTTTGGGATGTCCTGTGCTGTCTGCACGGGGAGTGGAAAGCTCAAGAGTTTGTAGTTATTTAGTTTTGAAGCAGTGGCTGTGTCACACTGGCTGACACAAAGTATGCCTGGGGCCTGCGGAAAGACCCCTCTTTCCCTTATTTCCCTTTATGTATGAGTTCGGTTGCGTTTCAGACTGGTTCAGTTTGTAAAGTGCTTTTAAACTCAGCCTGAACTGTCCAGGTTCAGCTTAAGTTTGGTTGTGTAGGTGGGAATTTGTTTTGTTGTCGTGCTTTGCATTCTGAGAGAAATGTTTCATGTTCAAAGGGATGGGGAAAAGAAGTGCTGTGTGATGATGCCAGGTGTCATTTTTTTAAACATCAGGATTAGTGAACAAACTGTATTTATACTGCGTGAGCATTACCGCGTCTTCATGTTTCTGAAAAGGCTTTGCAAACTTGTAAAAAGTCTAGATTTGGTAGATGCTTAACATTATTTGTGATGTTAATGAATATGGAGAAGGTTTTATGGTAATCCATTGTTCGGTTTGGCTTTCATATACAATGGCTTTGAAAAGAATGATTAAAAAAAAAAACCCAAAACCAGAGGCCTGATCTTCAGATAACTTAGTGATGGTGACTAATTTTGGGGAGATGATAGTATAAACATTGCTGGGGCTTCGAGACCCGTAGCGATGAGGCAGTTTCTAGAGTACTGTTATTGTTTATGATCCGCTCCATTTTATGGAAACAAGCTCACTGGACTGAGGCTTTGAAGCTCTAATTGGCGCATGCGTTCTTCCGGAGCTAGAGCTAATGGCAGGAAGCCCTGCAGTAAAAACCAACTGGTTCAGGAAATTAAAACCAAAGATTTGAAAATCAACAAAACAGACAGACTCAGTGGAATGACCCTAAAATTCTCATGGTTAATCGTTTGGGGGTGAACATATAATTATATGCGATCAAGTTAAATTTTAAACACTTAGCTGTTTAATGCATTTTATTTAGAAGAGCTCTAGGAGTAATTATGATCAATATTAATCATTGATGCATTGCAAAAGAATATAGAAATGTGGCTGAGGCAAACACATTTTCAGAGTAAATAGCTGTGAATAAAATGTACATAAATGGCTCTCTGTAGGTATGGAGCTGTAAATCGAAGCACACATTATAGGTGGATGGAGCCTGTCTGTCTAAAAGTGTCTCTTAGTCAATGTGAATTTTAAAAAAATTCTTATGTGAGATTTCACTCATAACAATTGTTATGAAAATATGCATTTGCATTACCTTCAACTGAAGCAAAGAAAAATGCAAGATAAGATGTAATTAACATTTCTGGCCCTAACTTCTTCAAAGAGAAAATGTCCAAGCTTTTGAGAAGAAAACCCCAAGTAGAATGTACTGATTTTTTTGAGTGTTTTTTCAAGTGGATTTTTGCCTCTGTCTGATGTGTACTGATGAGCTGTGTTTCTTTCCATCCCCGCCCGTGCCTCCCTATTCAGGAGAAGCAGTACATCTAGCTAGAGATTTTGGGTACGTTTGTGAGACAGAATTTCCTGCCAAAGCAGTAGCTGAATTTCTCAACCGACAACATTCCGATCCAAACGAGCAAGTCACAAGAAAAAACATGCTTCTAGCTACAAAGTAAGACATTTAACTTTCTGGCATGTTGCTTAGAAATGAGGGAGGGGGACAAACTCGAGTTTGGGGGTTTTATTTGTGAAGATATTTGTTTGCTGCATAACCAATGGCTGATGGCTTTGTAAGCTGTGAGGGTGTCTGTTGGTCCTCCTGGTACAGGAGAACTCTACAGACCAGCTTGGTTTCCTCCAAATCAGTTTGCACAGATTACCTTGAATGCGAATTGTGCAAATTGAGGATGAATGTTTAGTTACATAAAAAGCAGTTATTCTTCAAAGCAAAACATCTCCTGGGCTGATTCACTTAGCTTATCAATTTAAGTAGAAGGGGAAGTCCTCCCATTGACAGTAAAATAAAACTGGCACATTAAACCGATTTCAGTTCATTAAAATCGGGAATGGTTCTTCCTGCCTAAGCAGTTGTGTTACGTAGCCAATACAGGGATGTTAAAAATATATTTTAAATGACAATCTGTATGCAGTTAAAATGCTAGCGGAGTTTATTGTTGGTGGGGCTGCTTAGATTTCCAGGTGGCGTGTGAAAAGAAAATTATTGGTTTGGTATGTTTGCTGGAAATTAAAAGGGTTGTTTAGTAGCCCTTAATTACCAATGGAGGTGTCACCAAAGGGCACAGTGCCAGAGGACACAAGCAGGAGATGGGAGCCGCTTTATGGCTCTAAGACATTAACATGGGTTTTAGAATACAAACTGTTTCAACACACCTCTGAACTCTCTTGCTGTAAGGTGTGTTATTTCTCCAACCATTTCTGCAGTGAGTGGGTGATATAACCTATCTTCTGCACCATGCCCTCGTATCCTCCCTTCTCACCTCCCTGGAAGGAAATTTCCAGGCACTGGTTAGCGTCAGCCTTCCCCTCTGTGGAAAGGTCCCTTTGGATTTGGAGATAGAGATTTACATATCTAAATGTTTCAGAATACCCTAATTTAAATCCTCAGTTGCCGGCTCTGCCCTCACTCATTCTTCCTGACACACAGGTGTGTGTTTTAGCCTTGTGAAGGAAGAGGCCCATATCTCTCTCTGTTTCCCCCCAAAAAAGGAATCTTCTAATATATGGATAAATCCCTTAACTTACCTTTGGATATCATAGCCTGTCTATTAAGCCTGCTCAGGAACTTTAAACTGTGTTTGTGCTCCAAACTGCAGCTGGACAGGGATGTTTGTTTGTGGAGAGTGTCGGGGATGAGATATAGAGAGCGATGGGGCAAGAGACATGTATCTCCATGTTCCTGTTCCCTGCCTGTGTGTTGGATGGGGCTGGGGTGTAATGTGTGGTGTGCTGTTGTGTGTGCACACAAGGTGAAGGGAAGAGGTTTGTGTGTGCCAAGGAAGTGTGAGAATTGGGGGAAGGATGCATAGAGAGGAGAGGGAGAAAGGAGCAGGAGCTCAGGAGCAGGAGCCCCCTTGATCCAGTGGCTCGTGCAATCTAGCAGGGAGAATGCACAGACTTTGCTGCCACCAGTGATGGTTCATTTCTCTCTCTCTCTCTTCCCTTTCCTCCCTCCCTCCCTCTGTCTCTATGCTCCATTTGTGCTACAGACAGATCTGTAAAGAGTTCACCGACCTGCTGGCTCAGGACCGATCTCCCCTGGGGAACTCGCGGCCCAACCCCATTTTGGAGCCGGGCATCCAGAGCTGCCTGACCCACTTCAACCTCATCTCGCACGGCTTTGGGAGCCCGGCGGTATGTGCTGCCGTCACTGCCCTGCAGAACTATCTCACCGAGGCGCTCAAGGCCATGGACAAAATGTACCTCAGCAACAATCCCAACAGCCACACAGACAACAGCACCAAAAGCGGCGACAAAGAGGAGAAGCACCGAAAGTGAGGATCCCCCCCCACACACGCTCCTCTCCCTTCCCCCTCATAGCCCATTGATCCATTCATCTCCCTCCTCCCTCTTCCCAGCACCCAGCACCCCAGGCTACAGCAACAGAATGAGCGTCCTTCTGCCAGTCCTGTTCTCTGACTCTGCAGGACTGCTCTGCCCTCTCTCCACACCCCTTCCCAGCATCCACATTTCCATTTGCTCCTGCTTATATTCCCCCCCTCTTCCCACTGCCACCATCGTTTTACCCCAGTTTGGAGCCTAAGAGAACAGAACAGGGGGACGGAGCCAGCAAAGAAAAAAGTTCTGTCTTGAGTTTGTGAACTTTTTTTTTAAATAAAACAAAAGGAGGAAAAAAACCCAACAAAAATAAAACAAAAAAGAAAAGGACTTTTTTTTCTAAAAATATATTAAAAAATAAAAAAAAAACTAACAAAAAGAAATAAATAATACTTAAAAATTCTATGAGCTTCACCGGACTGAATCACCACCTTCCCTTACATAAACTTCAGTTAAGATTGTAGCCATATAAAAATGAAAAAAAACAGTGAAAAAATACAACAGCAACAGCAGACATACAAAAGGCAAAGAGGACTGATGACATTTTATCAGTATTGTGAATAAACTTGAACACAAAACACAAACGGTTCCATGTCATATCTTCAGTTGTAGAACTTTTTCCTGTCCAAGGTAAAGTGACCAACTTGAACTTTCTACTGCAACACGATTCACGGTTATTATATAAGGGAATCAGTGTTCATGTATGTATATATTTATTTATGTGTAATTTAATGGGAATTGTAAATATGGTGAGTCTGTTTTAAGCCTTTTTTTATTTATCTGGTGATCTCGTTTACCTCTTGTTTAGTGGGTTTTAAATCTTCCCCTCTTAGTTCATCATGTGGTTCATGGTACTTATTTAGATATCAGAGGTTTTTTGGGGGTTTTTCTCTGGGATTCATCATTTTTAGCCCTATTGTAGCATGTTAAAAGCGACAATGAAGCAGCTGAACAAATAAAAAACCATTAATTTTTATATATAATTAGTATGACATTTAGTTTCTCATTGAAGATGAAATAAAGTCATGTTGGACCCTGGCAAGGTTTTTAAACATGTTAGTGGTTTTACAACCCTTATGTGTTGTGGAAAATGAAAAAAGTTATTTTCATCCACTGTCCTTCTCCCGAAAGCACCAACAGAGCAATAAATTAATAATGTCTTTTAAAACAAGATTTAGCTTTACTTTCCTTTTTTTTTACCTTTTTTTTTTCTCCCTTTCTTTTGTTTTTATTTTTCTCCTTTTTTTATTTTTTTTTTCCCAAAGAACTTCAAACATTCGGGACCACCTGGTATCCTGTATTTCCACTAGCCATATTGGAAGCAGTTATAGTTGTGTTGTATTGAGTTGTGCCGGCAGTAGTTTCCATGCCTATCAATGTATCATAGTCCTTTGTTGCCCAGATAAATAAATATTTGATACGCTTTATGTCGATTTTTTTATTCAGTAGCTGTCTTTACCCAGGCGTATTTTTGTTCTTGGCAGTATTTTTTATTCAGTATGGTTACAGTAATTGAGTTTAACTCTCCCTTGACAATTGCTCCTTGCAATAAGCAGCTGAACCCATTGTTTCCCTCAAGTATAATAAAAACTTACTTTCAACTTGGAGTTCAGAGCAGGGTATCATTTAGATATTCCACTGAGTCTGTATTCAGACAAATGACACAATAAAGCACAATGTATTCTTTTGGATAAAAAATTGTCTGTACTACTAACAAAAATGACACACTATCTTTTCTTTAACCAAAACATAATTTTATTTAAAAAATAAAAGTTTTATTTTATTTATGTTGACCTCTAGGTTTTTATTTATGTTTCTATATAGCATACAGAATTATAAGCCTATAAAATTTTGTACATGTAGTCCTAACAGAGAGCAGAGATTAAAAAACACGTCTCTAGAAGGACATTTTAAAAAGAATCATTACTTAGAAAAAACTGAAAATTATTGCTGTGAAAAAAAATTTATACTGATAAATCAGAGCTGGGTGCTCCCTCCCCCTCAAGAAAAAAGAAAAGCTCCGTAGTTGATGCCAAGAAAATCATCTCACGGTTGTGAACTTTAGTGAAATCTTGCAGGAGACAGATTATTTCTGATTGATGGTTCGTGTTTTAGTGGAACGCACAGACTGACATTTTGAGATGGCTGTGTCAGTTTATGAGGGACTGAAATTTTTATCCTGAGTTTCTTCTTGTGGAAACCAGTTGTGAAACAGGGAAGTTAGCTTTAAAAACATGGAGTGTATGTCTTGAAGATGGTCTATAAAAATATGTGAGAATTCTGATTTTGAATCTATTTTCTTTGGCCCGCGGGGTAGGTGAAGTCAGGATCAGGCTGGATTATGTTATATCATAGGAAGGGAGACTTAATGTCTCCCTAACAGTTTAGAATGTAAAGGCATTTTAAAGAGAGGGTCTCCTTTAAGTGTTGCTAGTATTCTAGTAGTGGAGACTGATTTTTCTCTTTCCTTCCCTCCCTGACACTCTCTCTCTCCCTTTTTTCCCCTTTTCTCTTAGGCAGAAATTGAGGAGGTTATGAGGGAGGTGTTTACAATAAAGCTGCACAGAGAATTAACATTTACTCATATATTTTGACGTTTGGTAGAGCTGGTGAAGCAAAGCATTAGATAAAGCCCAAGATGTTTCATTTTGCTTTGGTAATCTACTTATGGAAGGCAGTGTAAAATCAATCTTGCCAAGCAGAAAGAGAGTTGGTGGAATCTAAATTCTATTTTCGTGAGCCAGCTAGTTTATAAAAATGGTGAATATTTTTTTTCTATAAATTGAAAGTGGATCTTTTGAATGCAAAGCTGCAATTGTTTTAAAAACAGTTATTTATTATTTCCAAGAGAGACTGGTTAACCGTAAAGTAGATGTAACAAAATAATGAGGTGAATGAACCCTAACTGTACATATTCTTGACATAAATGAAATGCACAGTATTGTAGCAGGTGAAGTGAAGCATTGTCTATCAGGGCTGTTTTTCTTGGCTGCATCTCAGATTGTGTGTGGGATCCTAACCTCAGGCACAATAGCATTCATAAACAGCAATACATTGCTGCTCTTTCTACAGCAACACATAAATACTCATTTTTAAACGAAAACAATCTTATTAAATACCATTCATTCATATCTGGATTTACAGATGCTTGTTACTTTTTGAAACCTGTACCCAATATAATCGTTTTATACTGGTCAATGTATAAAGCAGTCTTTTGCTAGAACATTATAAGGTCATAATAAATAATGTTTTAAACATATAATTAGCTACTTCATGGTAGGAGAGTGCATATTAGGTATTCTGCTGCTGGATTAGCAAGCCACCAAAAAACAGAAATGAAATGACCTTGCACAGATTTCTTTATTACTGTTATTTCTAAGGAAGGATTTTACAGGCGATAATGGAAATCAGACTAGGTTCGGTTCAGCCTCTTTTCGCTGCGACCAGTGTTCATTTACTAAAATGTGCTAATTACTTCAGCATTCTTTGGATGCATTTTTAATATTGTGATCGAGATGCAGCAGTGAAATTCTAGGTCATGCTTTTATACACTAAACAAAAATCTGTTGTTATTTTCCCCCCCGCCCCAGATCGGTTGAAGCGAGGGTGAGTGGTGGCTGAATGTTAGAGTGTTGCTGCCACGCTGAGCTAATTCCTACATGTGAACCAAAATACAGCTTGGTGCTCTTTCACCGTGAATAAGGACAGCCCTCCTCTTTGTACCGTATTTTACCCCACCCTCCAAAAATCAAATATTAATATAATTTGAGATTTAACTGGTGGAACAGCCATCAGGACAGCAATGCCCCGCAGCTGAAATAATATTTAAAATAGAAGAGATTTGACATTTGAGAAGTCAGTGGCTTGAAATACCCAGTTGTACTTAGCTAATTCAGTCCTTAACCTCTGGTTTCAAATAAATCAATTACAGTCGATTCCACTTCAGTTCAGAAGTGCACAAGGTTTTTAGTTAATTGAATACATTTTATTCACTTGCTAGGAGTATTCATTTATCCAAACCCTTACATTTAAAGGCAATTTCTTTATTGTCCATGATAAATTCGACTGTATAATCAGATCAGCTCCTTGTTTGTTTACTTGTCTTCTACCTCCCATTTAAATTCCACAATGTGCACTCCCTGCTTGGTACATGAATATCTCAGCCCAGATCAGATTCCCAGAGCCTCAACTCACATGTTAGGAAAGTGTAGCTAAAATAACTAGTGCCCTTCCAACAGGGATCAGCATGAAGTCCATCCCAGCTAGTGAGGGCACAGTGATTTAAATTGGCTTCATAATCTAACGTGAAAGGTTGGGAGTATAAAAAAATAAATGGTGCCTTTGATTTTGTCCCGTGCACCTTTTCTGCATGAAAGAGCTATGTCTCTGCTCCCTGCCCTGCAAGCAGCTGGAGCTGATAACTCCTTGAGAGGATTTGGAGCCAGCTTGGTGTCAGCAGGATAAGGTTTTTGTCGAGCATCAGGCAATGAAGTTGTGTCCCTGATCCACTTTGAACAGATACTGGTATACACTTTTTGTGTGTTGTTTGCAGAATCCTGCTGGCATTGGTTTACTGTTTTGGAAAGGAAAAGGGTTAATTAGCATCATTATCAATCACTAATGCTTGTCTAACATGGCCAAAGAATAATCAAGTTAGGGAACTGCATGAAGCTAACATCTGCTTCATTCCAGTTAAAGATTTTTCCTTATATCGTTCAATTATTTGAAGTCCACACCGGTTTCAGGCTTTGTCAGGGCCATAAAGCAGGGTCAGATCGTTAGAAATCTAGAATGGAGGGGAAAGTGCAATATAAATAACAAATGGCTTCATTATTTGAGTTACAGGTGCAAGAATGGCTGTGAAAATGAGTAGGGATTACTAGAATGTGTTCCTTCTTTTTATCTCCAATACAGAGGGAAAAAATAAATCAGCCAAGCCCAGTTCTTAAATCATTTATTCTGCACAGGCTGCAGCCTCTCCATTTGCAGTATTTAGTTTAGTAACTCCAAACTCCCAAAAAGAAGTAGTTTAAAGCAAGTGTTTAGAAACAGAGGAAAAGTGGAAGTATTTTATGACACATCACTAGCAAAGCCTTACTGGCTTCAGAATAACAAAATAGCCTTGTTTTTCTTCTTCCAGTTAAAGTTGCTAGGCTTTCTTGGGTGACTGAAACAGCTGATGTTTCAGGCAGGGCAAAGAGATATATAGCTCATGATGGTGGCAAATATTTGTATCCTTGAGCTGTTACTCCTTTCTGGTGCTGTAGATAAGAAGGTGACAAATCTGTGATATTTTATTTCCTCTTACAACAACTGTAGTCATATCTCTCTTAAGCTGAGTTTAACTTTGGTGGCCCAAAATTTTTATCATACCAACAGAGCAGTTAGAGCACCTTCACCGAGTGAATGTAGTGTGGAAATCAGGGTAAGACTACTGAGAGATTTCTGGTAGTGTAGGAGGGATCTGCTTGTTCCCTGTGGCACTTTTCTTTCAGGCTCTGATTTTGCAAGGCACATGCTGGCACCCAGAGCCTGTGGTTTCTCCATGAGTCCCTCCCTCTCAAAACCAGGGACCTGAGGTTACTCCAAGCTCCATGGTTATTGTCCTGTTTGCAGTCACAGAGCTCATTTGCACAGCAGATCTTCAAACCAGGGCAAGGGTAAACTGGGGAAGCATAGCCTAGGTGAGGAAAAAGTTGTCTTGTGTTCAGCAGGAAGGTGGAAGACTGTCAGGTGTGAAGTGCAAGCCATTTCACCATCTTGTTCCTTGAACATGTTGTGTGCACATACACACATATCCTATTTCTATAGGAGATCTTTTCTGTCCAGAGACGTTCCTAAGCCCCACTGCTGTTGTTGCCTGTGGTATGGTTAGTTCTCTCTGTAATACTTGACTAAAAGCAGATACAGGGGTTCTGAATGGAGCGCTGTTTCCTTGTGGGAGTGTGAGCCGTGCAGTTACACTTGCAAGTTGAGGGATGTACGTTGCTTCTATACAATGTTTTTGGTTATGTTCCTACCTGCTTGTTCATCCCACAGAACTTCTTGCCTCAGCACTGCTTTGGGCAGAGCTGGCCCCCTCCTCTCTGTGTATGATCCATCCTGATCCCAAAAGTTAAGGGTCAACAAGCAGAGATGTGAAATATATGGGACACATTTCTCATTGTAGAACAGAGCATTTTTGGGGCTCCCAGGAGAAGGGAAGAGCTGAAATTCCCTTTTCTTCCTTTTTTCTCCCTCCCTACCATTAAAGTTTTCTGGCAGGCACCTTTCCCTCCAGCTTGTCCTCCTTGCCCTCTACCTTGCTGCTGGATGCTGTTGCCTGTGCTTATCCTGTCTCCTCCTCTCCTGTGGCGGAGCTCATCTCTCTGCCCTGTAAAGTGGGATGGCTTGGAGAACAGCTGGGGGGACACCCAACACTGTGGCATGTGCTGGTGTGCCCAGACCAGGGGAGACCAGTGGGGCAGTGCTGGGAGGAAAGCAGGGGCTGTGCCTGGCCTCAGTGCTCTTTTTCCTCATTAGGCCTAGCGAGCTACACTTTACTAGTGCTAAAAATGTGCTCCTGCTATGCCTGCCTGAGTTTTGGAGCCTGTGTATGGCTGTAGATGATCCAGGACAGCAGCTGACGGGTGTCCCATTGCCAGGGAGCCTTGATGAGCATCCTGGCATGCTGATGTTTGGGATGGGGGCTGACAGGGGCTGGCTGCTGGGGTTTCTTCCCATCCTCATGCCCTTGGGAGAGCTTGCAGCTATCCTGCTGAAAAGGATGAGGTTTTGCAGGAAGCTAGGGAAAGGGAAAGAAAACAGGAGGTGGCTATGGCTTAGAAGAAAATCAGATTGAAAAGGGGCAACTGAGGTTTTGCTTTGTGTTTCCAGGAGGGCCTGGATATGGCTCTGGTAGGGGGTATGAAGATCACCCATTCCTTGCTGCAGCTGCTTTTGGAAAGTTTCTTGGGAAAGGTCTGAGGAAACTGGAGCCTCCAGCAGAACTGGCTGCTGCTATGACCTTCTTGGAGGCTGACTGTTTAATTGTTCACATTGTTGTACCCAGGGAGGTTTTTCACCTAGGATGCCTCTTGCTCCTGCCTGTCTGTGCAGAGCTGGTGTGCCAGTACTGTGTGCACATGCAGCTGTACCTAGAGGTGTGTGTTCATCTGTATTTTTGGGTGTTTGCCTGTTTGTTCGTATCTATCTATTTCTCTTCATGGGTGTGTGTATTTATGTCTCCATCCCTGAGACTTTTGGAGAGGCTGGGATAAGAGGGGGTGGGGTGGGCTGTCTCCCGGATAGTTGATATTCCAGGTTCAGCCTCTTTCTCCTCTCTCATTCTCTAAACCCAGCCAGGGGGAGTGTCGCCCCAGGCCGAACATATGCTTCTTTCCATTGCACTAATCCACCTTCAGCGTGGAGGAATAATTGCTCGAGTGTCCATGGCTCCTCGGTGCTTTGTCCCTCGCTGGCTCCCATCAGCTTGGCACACGCCATTTCAATCAAATCCTTTCAGAGCCCTGTCTCCTTTTATCACGTCCCCGTTCCGGCGAGAGGAGGGAGGGGAGGACCGAGCTCCCCGCAGACCCGGCGGGCCGAGCCGAGCCAGACCGGGTCTCTCCACCGGGAACAAAAGCGGCACCGGGCTGAGGTTGCTCTGTCTGCAAAGGCGTTAAAGGATGATGTTGTTGTTGTGGGGAAAGAACAAAAAAAAAAAAAAAAAAAAAAAAGGAAAGCCATCCCGCGGAGTGGTTGAGCTCTGTTCCCTGTCACGGTGAAGAGCTCCGGTAGTCCAAGCGGGCATTAGGTTATGAAGAGGCGTGTGGAACCCCCACCTCTCGGTGGCTGGGCTGCTGGTGATAGGGGAAGAGCTGAGAATTAGCGGCTGGAAAACTCCCGCCACTCTCTATTATCAGCGGAATGGGAGATTTTTGCAGAAATCTGCCTCCACCCCGATTTTCCCCTTTCACCCGGCAGTGCCAGCCCTAACCCGGTGGGATAGAGCGGCTGGCCACGGAAGAGGAGCAGGAAAACTCCTGCCGTCCCCGGCCGGCTCGGGACCAGAATGGGCACGGTGGGGCAGGCTCTGCCCTGCTGCAGGGAAAGGCTCCTTTTACATTTTTGTTTTGGTTCTCTTCTCCTTCAGAGAAGGGAGTCCTGTTCTGTTTCTGATGTCGCGAAGAGGGTTAAAAATTCTACCTAAGACCCGCTAGCTGAGGGAGTAAAAGAACAGCAAGGGAGGAAGGTTAACCGAGGGAGAATTAAAATTAAAGAGGAAAGAAAAGGGAGGAAAAAGAGAGAAAAATGTGCGCGATCTTTACATCCTCGCGGGACCCTTAGGTCCTTCTTACTTCTTGTTTTTGCTCAGCTGTCTGGGATGGCTGATGGGGAGCAGCTTCCCCCCATCACCCCGGGCTAGCACCGTGGCCGACCCCGGGCCCACCTTTCCCGGGAAGGCCGGCTGCGCTCCCTAAGGCTGCCTGTTATCCTGTCCGCCCCGCTGCTGCTGGGAGGCGGGGACAGGGGAGCGCCGGATGGGGGTCCTGCCTCCCCCGTCAGCGCTGTTGGTTTCGCCGCAGGTGAGGACCGAGACTTTCACAAGAGAACGGGGCGTCGGGCCACCGACGGGCTGGCCGCATTTCGCACCCTGCCGTCCGTCCATCCTCCCCACCCTGCGCTCCAAGGGAGCCCGCGGAGCCCCGAGCCGGGAGCTGCGGGGGCTTTGCCGCGACACCCGGGCCGGGGGCGAGAGCACCGGGGAGCTGCCGCAGGGGCAAAGCCACCCGGCAAACACGCGGCCGCTCGGGTGTGTGCCGGCATTTGCTCCTCTCAGTGTGTGCCCCGTGAATCCCCGAATATTTTTTTTTATTAAAGCGTGGGTCTTTCCTGGTGCTGAGAAAAATCGCCTTTATATATCTAGCTAGTTAAAAAAAAAAAAAAAAAAAATCCCCTTTCCACTATTCCACTACATTTGTTTTTAACCGCAACATCCACAGAAACTGCCTTATGAAAACCAGACTTTTCTATGAAAAGACTCTTCTGGCAGCAATTAGTCTGGCTTTCTTTAACAAAATTCTTTGTAATGTCATTCAGCGGAAAAAAAAATAATCCCAGGATAATTCTGATTACACAGTTAAAAAAAATAGTAAAATAAAAAATATTAAAATTAGCATATTTGGGTTAACCCTGGAAAAAAAATAGGAGTTTTTTCCTACCGATCGGAAAAAACTCGCTGAGATTGTGCCAGGATGGGCTTTCACGGGAAACAGACTCGTTCAGTTCCTGTGTGATGAGCGTAGAGGGCATTACCGCACACGCTCGTTGCCGAGTTATTTTAGGGACTTTGCCTCAGCCTCGCAGCGCAGCCCCACCTCGGCCGGGAAGCGGCAGGCGGGCGGGAGCGCCGCTGCCTCCAGTGGGAGGCTCGTGTCCGGCCCCACGCAGCTGCGCCCGCCCCTCGGCAGGCAGCGCTCGGCTGAAAATCGCGCGGCTGCTCCGGGAGAAGCGCTTCCCTTTCCTCCGCACCCCTCCTCCGGAGCCGGCTGTCCCCGCGTGGGTCCCGACCCCAGCAGGGCAGAGGTTGTCACTCCGGCCCCGGGCGGCAACCAGCTCGCTCCCTGCCTGCCGCCCCTGCCCACCGAAGGAGGATGAGGAAGTGGTGGAGTGCGGGGAGAAGAAATGTGGCCCGGGGAGGCGGGGGAGGGTGGGGGTAGCTGCCTACCTGGAAGCGTGTCGCAGATGCTCGGGCAAAGCCAGTCCCTCTGGCTCATTCGCAGGTTTTTGCTACTTTCCCCCTCCCTCTCTCCGTGCTCTGGTGAGAGGTTGCATGTTCCAGCCCAGGGAGTCAAACGTTAAATTGTTAAACCAGAGTAGGAAAGGAGGGGGAAGCGGGAAAAAAAAAAAAAAAAGAAAAAAGGCGTGTTTATATTTCAGATCTTTTAAAAGGTCGGCTTTAATTAGGTTAAATACAAGTATTATTGGCCCAGAAGCACATAAGCTCGTTACAAGCCTAATTGCAAAGAAAAAAAAAAAAAAAAAAAAGTGCGCGTGGAGAGAGACGCCGTACTGTTTCGGCACGACCCACCTCCTAAAGTGCGTGCGTGGGGATGCGCGGTAACCGCGGCGTGGGGAGCCGCGCATCCCCACGCAGGACGGCCAGGGTAGGGTGCGCCGTGCGCATCCCTCCCCACTCCGGCTTCCATCCTTTGGGAATGAGTTTGGTATTTGCCTGCGGTGCTTGCCCGGAGTGGAGGGTTGCTTTTGCGGTTGAGCGAGGTGTAGGGTGTCTGTGCATGAATCTACTCTGAACTTGCCGTAAAGCTCAGTCCCTCTCGACCCTCCAAACTAGCTCTTCTTCCCAGCTGGTCCTTCTCTCTCAACCCCTTGACAACACAACTTGGGGGGGAAGGGGTAACCATTTGCCCTGAATCACAAATTTTCATGGCTTGGAAAGAAAAAGGTAACCCTCATGTCTAGCTCAATTAATAAACATGGTGATTTCACACCCAAAAGGAGGACATTATTTCACGGGAGCGCTATCAGCTCCATCACAAAGGGTCACAGCGCAGCTGTGGCGAGCCCGGGGTTATTATGCAGTCTGATGATAGGATCCCGCTTGCCATCCCGGCTCCTTCCTCGGGGCGACCAATAGCCCCCGGCAGGGCTTGTGCCACCTCATGATAAAGGACTTACCCGATGTGTGAGGAAATGGAGCAGCTTTCAGATGAGAGGTAATAAGCTTGCAGGCGAAGCCCCAGCCCTTCGTTTTCCCCCCACCCCCCGTCTCCTGCCTTTCCATTTAACTTTTTTTTTTCTCTCTCTCCTCCAGACAACAACAGCAAGAAGTTATTATTCATTTGAACGCAAACCTTACGCTCTCTCTCACCTTCTCCGGCCCCCTACGGGGAGCAGAGGCGGGAGACCCCCGGCGGTCCCCCCCCCAGCCAAGCCCTCACGGCTGCCGGTGGCAGGAGGAGCTGCCCCCCCCCCCCCCCCGCAAGGAGGGACAGTTGTGGCTGATGGATTTCTGGTGTCAGGAATTGGGTCCAGAAGCTGTGAGGCAACATATTAACTGCGATCCCATAATCTCTTAATCACATTACATTTTAAGTGAGCATGTGTAATTTCACCCATCAATGATTTATTTAAGCAAGGGAGCACAATTACTTGTCTCGCACACAAACGCTGGCTGGGGGAGCATTGTTTGCCAGAAATAAAATCTGAGGTTTCAGGGACTATCTGTTTCTCCGTGCTGAGAAACCCCAGACCCCCGCTCCTGAGGACAGGAGTTTGGCGGCTGATCCTCCTACACAGGCAAGCGAGGGCGAGGTTTCCCACCCTTCCCATCCATCCTCTTTCCAGAATCAGCCCGGCAGCAATGTCTGACGCTGGTGCTGTGAGAAGTGTCTTCAGCTGCCCGGTCCCTCCCCGGTGCTGCCCGCAAGCTCCTGCTCGGGGGTACGTGCCAGGGAACCCATGGGAAGGTTTGCTGGGCTGTGGGGCATCTGACCCTTCTGCACCGTTTTGGCTAAAGCAAGTATAATTTATCGGGGGAGCCGATATTACACGGTCTCACTCTTGCCGAAACCTACATTAAAGAGGAGCGAAAGTCGAGTAAACCCCTCCTGGCGCGTTGCTGAACACTGGTCTGGGCATTTGATTCCTCCGGCTCTGGCCTGGACACAGCCGGCACGCTGAGAGCTGAAGCGCGCCCCGCATTTTGGCACGCCAGGGCTGCCCCCGCTTGCCCCCACTCCGGGCTGAGCCTTTAAAGCTGCCCCGAGAAGAGCAACGCGAGGTTTCAGGGGGAGGTCAGCATTCTCCTTCCTCTCTTCTTTTCCACCCCAGGGCCAAACTTGCCGCCGAACGGCTTCCCCGGCTGCGGGGCAGCATCCCCGGCAGCTCCCGCCTGGAGACGGAGCTCGCTGGCGGCCAGACCTCCGAGCCTCACCGTCTGCCTGCGGAGAGGGTAGGCGGGCACGCGGGGGTCTTCTCCGGCTCCCCAAGACCACCCCCTGGCTCCGGGCCTCCTGGTCCCGTTGTGCAGCTTGGCCTCAGCACCAGGCTGGAATCACCTCCGCAGCTCTATGTTATTATCGTTATTATTAGTATCATTGCTATTAACCCCCCGGCAGATCGCTCTGTGCAGAGCGGCCGCATCTCACACCCGCGGCCGGGAGGGAAAATCACCCGAGAAACGCGTGGGACTGCCCTGGAGCCGATGTCTTTCTTAAACCGGGCTGGGATTCTACACGTGCCACTATCTTTACTAAATAGTCGATGGAAGAAGGTCCCCGAGAGGTAAAATATTTGGCTACAGAGAGAGAAAAAAACACACCACCCCTCCTCTTTCAGTAGCTTTATTTTTTTTTTTTTCTTTTTTATGTTCTGGAGCTGCCTTAGTCTGGCATTTGGCAGATTTAACGTCGCAAAGGAAACAAAGAAAAAAAGTAATTACATTTTTGGAAAACAAACAATAATTACACGATACAATCGGTATAACAGTAAGTGAAACATAGCAGCGGGAGTTAAAAACAATATTCTAGCCATGGAGATGGGTTCCGCCGCTGACTCAGCGTTTTCAAATACTCCAAATTATCCTTACATCGGATTTCGGTAGTGCAGTTCAGCTGCAGTCTACTGGCTTTTAAATTAAAACATATCTCGCTGATTAGGCACATATTAGGGTCTGGGGGAAAAAAAAAACCCAACCCAAACCAAGGTTTCTCAAGGCAAAAATTATTCTGGTGGATCAGGAATATTTCATGAGCCCCTTTTTCCCATCCGTATGGCAAGCGGAGGAACTGCGTTTGGAGGGGCAGCCCCTGCTCCCCGGCTCCCGATGCCCGGGGCGGGGGCGGGAGGGGAGCAGGAGCGGCTGCCTCGCATCTGAGCTGCGGCAGCACCTGTCACCTGGAGAAGCTGTGACTTCACATGCCCCGCGGCTCTGACTTCACGTTGGAGCGCATTATTCCATCACTGAGCCATGTTGACATAAACACTTCCTCCCCCCCACCCCGACCTTCTCCTCTTTCTCCTCCTGTTTGCCCGACTTTCACACGAATATTTGGGATGATATCTAAGGCAGCAGGAAAGTTGCGTGTGTGTATTTCCCTGGTTTTGGTAATTAACCATTTATTTTTAATTTCTTTTTTTCAATTGACTCAGTTTTATTTTAATCAAGAGCCCTTAGGATTAATTGTAATGATATGAATGGTTAAACAGGGAAGAGCTGAAGGCTCAAGAATGCTCTCTCCTCGGAAGAAAATATCAGCCATCCCACAAAAATAGCCGTGCTGAGTGTAGGTCTTATGTAAATAGATAGAAATCATAGGGCTGCCTGAGTAATGTGAAGTGTACTTGAAATCTAGCATTTGTTCGATCAAACCTTTGTTCTGCTTCCCATTAACTGCCAAACAAAAAAGGAGTAAAAATTAAGGGGAAAAAAAAAAAAAAGAGGAAAAAAAAAAAAACCCCAACTTTGACTGCTGCAAAATTCTGGTTCCCACCACTTAAAACGTTTATCCCAGAGAAAAGTTTTTAGTTGTGCCGTTGTTCAGTCTCCGTTCTGCCCTCAGGACTCCCAAATTCCCAGAACAGGCACACAAGCGATGGTGACAACAACAGCAGCAAATACGAGGCTCCTCGCCGCCTGCTCTATTTAGAAGCAAACCCGCTCTATATTTCGTCAGGCAACCCCAGACAGGAGTGGCAACTAAAGCTTTAAACCCTTTGGAAATTCCTTTCTGGTTTAAGAGAGCCAGGGGGCTTTCGTCCTCTCCCTGCCGTTGGTTGTGAGGAAGGGCAACAAAAGAGGTAAAATGCCTTCTCCAACTAACTGGCTCAGCGTTTCACATGCATCAAAGGCAAGGCGAGAGCTAATCCGAAAATGACCACTTTAATGTACACGAACCCATGGCTACAGCAGCAGAACCGAGGGGGATTTTTCACTCTCCACCACAACAAAACCCTACACTTAATGTCATAATAACAGATATTAAACAGAGGGGAATGAAAGGATCTCACGCTGGGTTTTCTGCATTCTTGAGTCTAATTAAAAATATACAGAAAAAAGACATAGTTTGGGTCAAAATGGCATGAGAGACGCCTTGTGCCAGTGAAGAGGCTGCAATTATCAGCTTAGAGACAATGTCCTAGAGGTCTTATTCACTCTTCAGCTCCAGGGGAGCTGAAAGTCAGTGCAGGGATGAGTGGGACATATGCAGCCGACTAGGGCTGAAAGGGCGTGGAGAAAAGGGCTAAGGGACATTTATCCTCTCCTTTCCCCTTCCCCTAGGCAGCAAAGGGGACTAAAACAAATACAGCAGAACCCCACAAAGTTTTTTTGTGGATTTTTTTTGTTTTTTTTGAGGCCACTTGGACTGCCCTTCCATTCAGATGGAGCCGGGGTATTTACTTAGTCTCAGATTGTATGACTCCGGCTTCTGCCTTTGGGGCTGGTGCCGCCAACTGGGAGGGGAATCCTGTGGTGAGCAACAAGTGCCCTGAATGACAATACCTTCCTGGGGAGAAAATACCTTGCAGAGAAGGGATCTTCTCCAAAGCAGCAGGCCAGAAACTGGAGCCAGACAAATTCAAATGCAAGATAAGGCACAGGCTGGCGATTTACCATGTGAGTAAGTTACTGAGAGCTGAACCAGTCCTGTTCCCCTCTATATTTTGGCAGAAGTGTGGATGTCTATACAGGTGATGTGACTGAGTCTAATCCAAGTGATTTGGCTCAATATAGAGCATAGCCTACCATATGACAGGTCTGATGAAGCCCTTGAAGCTATGACTAATAAATGACTTCAAGACTTTGTGATCTGGCCCCTAACAAATATCCAGAGTGCTGGTTTTAGGTATTGGTGTTTGGCTGATGTTACTTAGATGTAACAGTAGGCAAACCATCTTTTTCTTGGCTTGTATGAAAGCTGACCTCTTTCAATGCTTGCTTATATTTTTTCCAGAGGAGAGAGGCTTGGCCAGGTGTCAGGAAGATGGGTCTCCAGTGACGAGACCACAGTGCTGCCACTTTTCCCTTGTCTTTCTCGGTGCCTGCAGGCATCTTGGGCTGCACCCAAGGTACTCCCGTCCACTAGTAAGGCAAGTGATGGGCAGGGGTTCCTTCAGCTGAAACTATTGAGACCTATGGATGGTACTCCCACTCCAGAGAAGGGACATAATTGTGGTGGAAATAAAACAGAGAGAGAGGGGAGAAGTGCTGCTCTCATCCCATGGCAGCCACAGGGAGCAAAATGCACCTAACTCAAATGTTTTATTTATCCCTCCTCAGCTGGTCAAATGGACCAATTCAGAGTTACTCGAGGTATTGAATTCAATATATAAAGACAGAGCAGAGAGCAGCCCTGACTCTTGCTGCCAGCAAGACATGGGTGACCTGATAGATCCTTCTTTCTTAGGTTCTGTCTATGTCTTGACCTTAGAGGTTTCATCTGCCCAGGCCATTGTGTCTTGCACAGAGTAGAAGGGTCTTTCCAGCTTGCTTGGCAAGACCTTCCTAACCTGAGGGCCTTTGCAAGTGGCCAGGAAACCTTTCCCCATAATTGCAGGGTACTCACTCAGGGCTGTGTGCGCAGTGCAATCATCGTTTACCAGCATGGTGACTCCTACTAACCCTGCAGCACAGCTGCCTTACCGGAGTTAAAGATTAATTATTGCCTGTAAATCCAAGAGGTCTTCTTCAGGCAACATTGCTAATATTTCTGAGGCTGGTTGTATGCTGGATTTTTGAGAA